GCCCCCCCCCCCCAATGGCACCCCCGCCCCCCTTGAAGGTCAATTTAATTTAATTAAATTATTTTCTCTATAGCGCTAGATCACAACAGAAGTAATTTAAAGTTACCTTTCCGATAGAACGGGTCTAAACCTTGTTCTTTCATTAAGCAAACTAAATAGCCTTATGTTATTTATCTTATTTACACAACGGCATGTCATTTCGGTCTCTACGTTATGGTCGCGCTCTCTGTGTCACGCGCACACACACACGTGCGCGCGCTCCCACTCCCACTAGAATTTGTAAATATTAAGCCGCAAAACGATTCATATTTAAATATGAATTCTGCATGTCTCTGTGTTAATGAATGGCACAGATGCGCGATTTTGTTTACTACTCTTACTGAAGCGCGCATGACACTTGCAGTGATTTTAGCATCTGCCGTCTTACTAAATGACATAAATACATTAACAACATCTCCAGAACTGCTCTGAGTAAAACTATTCTCATATCATATATAGGCTACACAGAGAAATGTAAAGGTATTCACGGCAACCCGTCAAAATAAAAGTTTGGTTTAACTTGAAGGCATTGTGGCAGAAATATATTACTATTGTTCAGTAGAATGTACGTAATAAGCTGCTACTACTACTACTAAAATGATTAAAACCTTATTTTTAAGGAATAATCATACAATATTTCTTCAATGTTATAATTGTAATATTAAATGACCTTTATTTTCCCAAAAAAATAAAAAGTGTTTAATTTTCATTACTTCAAGGATAGATTAAATGAATGTTTATGCCGTAAAAATTTTAAATGCACAACACAGAATTTCTAAGCAAAAAATCATAAGGCTATTGTAAGAATAAATGAAACTTGTTTTTATGCTTTCAAATAATTAGACATGCTAAAACAGAATTTGGTAACAATAAAACATAAGGTTGGGAAAATGCACTGGTAATGCATTTTTAACAACTTCAAAGTAGCACCATTGACATGTTTTTTTGTACAATTATAAACTGTAAGCATTAGCCAAAACAAACACTTCTTAGTTCAAATATTTCTGCATATTGAGTATGCAAGAAATATTTTCTGAACGCGTAATGAAATCATAATGTCAACTATTTTTATCTGGAAAAAAGTTTATTTAGCAATAGTTTAGAAGAATCTTGAAAAATGTCAGTATCTACAAAGTTATTTCTTACAAAGGCATTTTTGATTCAAGATGAGTCTACAGAAGTAAAGAAGACCTGCCATAACTTAGTGAAGCATTTATTATTTATTCATTGTATACAGAAGATAAGTGGAGATGTGATTTATTTGAGACTTGTGCTTTATTTTGAGAAGATGTCTTATTTTGGTTTCACATTGTAGACCCTGTCTACTAACTTTGGGATGTGCAAAAATACGCCTCTCTTTGCCGCAAGTACGGTGTTTATTTTCACAGTACCGCCAATTATTAGGCTGGCCATTACTTTCACACCCCAAAGCTATTTGTGTCTTTTGGGGGTTCTTAGACATTCATATTAAGTGTCAATCTGTCTCCCAATCCAATGATTTAAGATGGAGTACAGAAATCATTCTAATATTCTGATTTGCTGCTCAAAAAACATTATTTTTTTTCATCATTATTATTATGATGTTGAAAACAGCTGAGTAGAATTTTTTCAGGTTTATTTGATGAATAGAAAGTTCAGAAGAACCGCATTTATCTGAAATAGAAATCTTTTGTAACATTATAAATGTCTTTATCATCACTTTTGATCAATTTAAAACATCCTTGCTAAATGAAAGAAAGAAAGATAGAAATGAAAAATTTCTATAATATAATTTTTAAAAAGAGCTTTTGAATGGTATAGTGTATAATGTTACAAAAGCTGCTTGTCTGCCAGCAGGAGGCGCTGTGAGAGCGGTGATATCATACAGTCTATGGGTGGAACTAGCGGTTTCTCCAGTAATGGCTGTAAACAAAGCAGCTCCGCTCATGAACGCTACTTTATCAGATAAAAATGCCATCTAAACTATTCTGAAGACAGTCGGTTCCCTTCAGAGATACATTCATATAAAACACCCGCGACGTGGTTTGATTTTGAAACGTGCAGTGCTCATGTTTATTCAACGAAGTCAAACGGCACAAATAAATCAATGTATGGGAAACACTGGTAATGTATATCGGAAATGTGTTTAAAAATCGTATCACCGTTATTGAAAAAAATTATATTGCGATACATATTGATATTGAATTATTGTCCAGCCCTAGTATTAGGTAACACTTTAGTAAAGGAACCAATTCTCACTATTAACTAGTTGCTTATTAGCATGCCTATTACGATATAATGGTTGTTTATTAGTGCTTATAAAACTCATATTTTGCGTGACCATATTCTACATCCCTAATCCTAAACTTAACAACTACCTTACTAACTATTAATAAGCAGTGAATTAGATGGTTATTGAGGGCAAAAGTTGTAGTTAATGATTTGTTAATGGTGAGAATTGGACCTTAAAATAAAGTGTGACCGAGTGTGATATTGGCGGCCATGCAAAACAAACCCCTGACCATTTTATGCAGCCCTTCTGAACCATTTTAGACCATATCTTATTGGTTCCCATGAGAACTTGTGGGCTTTTGGCACTGAATGACTGGCACATCTCTATCTTGGCTTCTTATTCGAAGTGTATCGGATGTACTACACGTGGCTTACGTGTTCGTCAGGTTTGTAGTCTTCATTGTCCGTCAGAAGCAATGTGTCCAGCGTGATGTTTGCAGAGGTCTGCAGGTGTGTGGGACGACGGCGAAGAGGACTCTGATAACTTACGGGGCTGATGCCGTTCTTCATATTGTGTTTCATAAAACGTTTTGAGTTTTCGGTCACCGATGGCCGAAAAGAAATTCTGCTTCTCCGTTGCATTTTGGGAGTCCTTACACGTCTGTAGTCACATGTGATGTAGCGCCTAAAGGCCTGCCTGAACGTCCTGTTGAACAGTGTATAAACCAGGGGGTTGATTCCCGACGAAACGTAGCCCACCCATTGAAAGATATCCAACAGCTGTTCCACTAGATTACTGTTGCACCCTTGACAGAGTACAGAGGTCACATTGGTAATGAAGAAAGGACACCACATCACAACAAACAACATGAATACAATCCCTAGAACCTTTGATGCCCTTTGTTCATTGCTCAAGTTTTGCATGGACCTCTTTCCTATGGTGGACATCCTGCGGAGAGGGACCTCGTCCCCTGTGACGGGATGCAGTGTTCGGTCCCTTTTTATTCCATTTGCAATGACCACGTTCTCAGGCGAAGAGACAACCGCCAACTCCTGGTGGAAGACTGTGGAAATGCTGGGCCTTGCAGCTCTTGATCTCAAAAGATAGGCCTTCTTGCGCAGTACTTGGATTGTCAGCAAGTAGATAATCATCATAATTGTGAGTGGTATAAAGAAAGCCGTCAAAGACCCATACACCTTGAAGTCCCCGAAACTTTCTGGTGACAACAGACAGGTGTGGTTGTTGTTGAAGGTGACGTTGTTTGGATGGTCGAAGACTTGTAGCCCTTTGATTGGAATGGGTATTGCAATCCCTGATGGAGAAAGACCAATCATTAAATTTAGCAGAGAATATAAGGTTTAAATAAAACATTGAAATGATCAAACCAATTAAAACTGACTTCAGGTGTGCCCAGTCTTGCTCCCAGAGGGGCACCTTCCTCCAGAGTTTAAACACACCTAACCCGCTAAACATGGTCCTCGGGATTACTTGTAACTTCTAGGCAGGTGTGTTGGAGCACTTTGGAGTCAGGATGGTAGTACTCAAGACCAATTTCATTTACCTCAAACACAGCATATTTACATTGTCTGAATCATTCAGATCCGCTTCAGGTCTCATCTTGACTCGTACTCTACCTTTTTCTGGTGTCAGTCTTGACTGATTCAACCTACACTGGTCTGGGCCTGGAAGTGGACCTGGACTTCGAAGGTATATATCCAGGAGCAGGATTGGACACCACTGGACTAGGTTACTGCATAGTCCAAGGATCTCCAACCCTGCTCCTGGAGAGCTACCGCCCTGCAGACTTCAGTTTGTAGTTACACACCTGTTTGTATTTATCAAGTTGCCCTGAGCACCTTGATTACCTGGTTCAGGTGTGTTTGATTGGGGTTGGAGCTGAAATCTGCAAAACCTAGCTCACCTTGGTGCAGGTTATTGGACTGTGATGTTCAGTCCTGCACCTGGATATATACCTTCCTGGAGAGATTAACTCCAACCAGTGTAGAAGTCAACATCAACTCATTTAGGTCCAAGTCCAGGCCGAGACCAGCATAGGTTGAATTATCAAGTAGCCCTGAACACCTTGATTAGCTGGTTCAAGTGTGTTTGATTGGGGTTAGAGCAGAAATCTGTGGGATGGTAGCTCACCAGGAGCAGGGTTGGAGACCCCTGGCATAGTCAGTCATTCCCTTTGGTAAGCTCACCGAATAGTATTTTTTGTGCTTTTGGCAGCTACCTTCGGTTTTTAAGCAATGCTACTAATTGGTGGATTTCCAAAACAAATATTTGACTAACTGGTTCTGCAGAATCCTTGAACAGTTCAGCTTGTGTGGGGTTCATCTGATCCCGATTAGGTTCTTAAAGGTACAATATGTAAGATTTTCGTAATAAAATATCCAAAAACTACTTGCACAGTGTTATATATTTTATGCAGTTGTGTATGTTATTCCAAAAGTTCCTAAGGATTTGTAAATTTTAAATAATGACTCGTCCCATTGTCATTGTCGCCAATCAATGATGTAATATACGCATAGTACACAACACACAGACACAAATGCTGCTGTACAGTTAAACTAAATCCATTACGGCTGTCACGAATAAAATGCAAATGAAATGAAAAGTGTTGACCGCAGCATTAAATTTAGATCTGCTCAATGTTGCGCCATGATTTTTGTATGCGTTTTAACAGTGTTGCACATTATAACCATTCACACATGAGGCTGTTGAGCTTATGAATGCAAATCAGCTGATTGCATGATTGGTCAAATCAGAGGTGTTCAGATGAGTTTTTGTTCAGTGCACGGCACTCGCTGACTGAATTCAGCTCTCACGCGAATTCTCTCATCATAAACAACAAAGCGCATATGTACGTATGATGTAAGAGATTCATTCATAAAACCGTGTATAGACAGCTTTACTGATTATAAGGGGAGCTTTTTGAGAGCGCTTAAACTCCTGCTAGACTTAAGTCAGTCATAATGTTCTTTGACAGTGTAAATGTTCTTTGCTTGCATTCTCTGTATAGTTTATTCGCTGTTTGAATAACTATGGAAGGTACAGGTAATAAAAAAATGAATTACCTCATCCGTGAACATCCTCCTTCATAGCGTCATCAAACTTCGCCTTTATTGTTTTGAAAATGCGACCTCTAGTAGCGAAAACTTACATATTGTACCTTTAAGAGGTGCTCACATAAGATGAGATGTTGTTCGAAAAAAACTCAAATAAAACTTGATGTAGCACTACGTAATGGAACAGAACACAGGCCTCAAGGCATGTTTTAACTTGATACAGCATCTTATAAGAGCAAAAGTCGTAGCGCAGTAAAATGGTCTTTTTTCGATATTGTGGGACTCTTGTGTAATAACTATTGGAATAGTCTATACATTTGCCATTCATTACTACTAATAATAGCAGTTACAACATCAATAATACATCTTGGATTTGAGGTCTCTCAGTTTAAGTATCTATAACCATCAGCTCCTGGTGCCTGTTTTGTTTCAGTAATACTGCTTTGTCAAACGTGAGAATATGCAAAGTCGTTCTCAGGAGTCCACAGTTTCATGGTCAGTGTTGAAGTGACACAGCACGTGGCCTGCCTTTCATGGTGGTGAAACTGCTTCATGATTCCAGAACGGTGCGTTGAGCTTGTCCAGACAACGCAGCCAAAGTAATCGTCTGGACTGATGTTAACGAGCAGAAATTGCGAGGTGTTTACTTTCATTCCACCCCCACAAGCCAGCGTCCACGTATCACTAAAACCCAATCATTAAGAGTAAATAATTTGTTTGTATAAATAATAGAAGCTCACTGGTCAGTCAGTGATGTGAGAGAAATTAAATTTATGCACATGTAACTTTTCCAGAGACAACTAGTGTTGAGATCATCGATCGGTTTAGTGCTTAGAGACTGGGTTTTGCCAGATTTGTGTAAAGCTATAATTTCACATTTTATTAAATGTAGGTAATGTAATTCTAGAAATGAGTTTGGTCCCATTTATAAGCCTCTTCATCTTCTGGAAGGAAATTGTGGCATTTGTATTTTTACAATTGAAAATGGAAATTCCCTGCATCTTTAAAGGCCAATGGCTAACATTGTATCATACCTATAGAGATTAGCCAGACAAGTGCGATCTTAGCCAGCACTTTAGCTCTGGATTTGAACTGGCTGTGCTGGATTGGTTTCTTGATCGCAATGTAGCGGTCGAGGGAGATGGCACACAGGTGCATGATGGAGGCAGTTGAAAACAAGACATCCAGGAACAGCCAGATAGGGCACAGGAAATCTGCAAGGGGCCATCTGGAGTCTGAAATATGAAGAGAATATTAAGCACTAATCAGTGGGCTGTCTGAATTTAAATTAGGACCAACTCTGAGACCTTTTTGTTGTTTTGTGATGGGACACACATTTTAAAGACATCTTTTTAACATTATTTCATGTACGCTAACTTAACATGGCTTTCATCAGAGTTATTGTGCCATTCAGTGTTTCTGGAAAAAATGCAGGCCAAACCTATTGTCTTAAGTATTCAAAATTAGTATTAACTGCTTGTTTCTTCTCTTCATTCACCTATGAAGAACTTCAGATTAAGTCAAATATGTTGTAAATCACAGATCCTTCATGGTGGGAAAATTCATCGCAGCCTTTGCATCCCCTCCTATATTTAGTGAATCATAACATTATTAAATAAATAGAAACAAGCTTGAGTTGGACAAAAACGGTTCGAAAGATTAAACACTCGGGGGCTTTTGGACTATTCATCTAGCTCTTCAGTGATGCTGTTTATTTTTGTGACAGACATGAAATAGTGGATAATCGAGTTGGTCTTCATCCCATTGCACTTAACAGATGCTGTTGTTTAAAGCCTTTAAATAAAATTACGTTGTTTTCATCTCTGCAGTTTTTGTTTGTCTTTTTCATGCTCAAGTCAAACAGATAAACTGTGTTGTACATGCCATATTATTGCTCTCATGACAATTCCACATTTACCAGAAGTGAAAAGGAAGGTAAAATGCTAAATTTATTGACACTTTTTTTCATAAAATACATCATATAACTCTTAATAGGCTGCTCCAAATACTTCAGGTTACTGGTTTAACAAAGTTGCATTTTTTGTAAACTTTTTGGGTCTCAGTTTTACAATGTGTGCTTACATTTTAAACATGATTTCTAGCCTTCATTGACCTCAACCGTAGTGTATCTCCAAACTTGTGTGTGTGTGAGTGGACGTCCATGGTTTGGAGAGCCTATAACCAGATGTTGAAAACTGGCATGGGTAAGATCACCCCTCTTCACTAAACAGATCCTCATAGAAGCTCCTCAGAGAGGGCTACATTATTGCCAGCTGTGCTTTCTGAATCCAGCATGTTTTTGCAGTCATTTTGGAGGCAAATTAATTTAACCAGCATGATGGTCAAATTAATACAAGTATTAATTTCTGTAGTTTCTTTCCCAAAAATGAAAAAATACAGACTCCAATTTTCTTAATGGTTCAAATATATGCAGGCTTGGTGAGCAGAAGAGACTCCTTTAAAAAAAATACAAAATCTTACTGTTCAAAAACAAAAATATATATATTAGTGCTATATATATATTAGTAATATCAAAATTAGCGTGTTAACACAGGCGATTAATTGATTGATTTTTCTAATTTGACACATTTAATGCAGGTGCGGAGCTAGGGTTGGCCACCCCACTCACAACTGCTGCTTCTGTCTCGTTTTTCTTGACAAGAAGTACGTTTATTTAGATGCAGAACATCTTTACGACCACATAAAACAGGAGATTTTTCAGATGCACACTCCACTTCGCCTCAGCACCAGGCGTGAGTCAAATGAGTGCAGAAATCATACAGGTGACTAGGAGCTTTAGCAGAAAAACAGTAATGAGATGTTGTCAGGCCATAAGTCAGTAAAAACGAATCTTCCTGTCCTGTCAGCCATTATACTGTGCTCGTTGCACATGATCTTCAATTGCATGCACAAATATGGCGGTGCGCACTGTAGCCTGTATTATTTCATATTAAAGCGTGAATGAAATTACAAATGTGTGCATCAGATCCACGTCACGTTCAGCAGCGGAAGCTCTTAAAGTAATAGCAGCCAAATAACCTTATAAACACGCTGCTGTGATGTCTGTTCATCAAAGAACAAAAGAGAGGAAAAAAAAGAAATCAATTGCTTTTGTAGCTTTAAGGATTCATCTATAGCCTATTTAATTTAGAATTTAGTGTTTTGATAACTTTATTCAGTTTCTGTAGGCTATATTTCCTACTTGCTAAAGGGCACATGTAAATGTGACATTTATTATAATGGGTTTATGTGAAGATTTGTTTGAAGTTAACTTAAATTAGAAGTTATTTTTAAAGTCTTAGAAATGTTAAAATTGATAGCTCTCAATTGTGCTGTAATGTTGAATGCTTACAGTCAGTGGTAAAAAAAAAAAAAAATTTAAATTTCCGGAGACATCAGTAGTATTGCTATCAGTGATACTCACTTTAAGTCATAAAAAATGCCACTAAACAAATATTTAAAAAAGTACTGTCTTAATGTTGTTTTTACATTAATTTGGAGATTGCATGTGAAATTATTGCAATATAAATTTATATAAAGTATATTTCAAAACTTTCATGTTAAGTGGTTTAATGTGCAGTTAATTTTGATTAACAGTCTGCATTAGACTAGACTAACCTGCATTAGATGACACTATTCTGTATTTGTGTGCTTGCATTTTTGTAAAATCGTCAATTAAATCAACTATGCAGTTTCTCCCAATCACAGAAACTTTTATCCAAAAAGCCATTGTTGCTCATTAGATTCTAAATGTTGAATCTGAAATAATTTTGTAGAGTGTTAGTGTGCGGTCTCACTTACCATTTTCCATTGCAAAATCCAGTCATTGTAATAGGAATCCATGCAATTGGGAATTTTGCGTAAGGGTGAAAGATTTTGCAATGTGAATTAGCTGTGTTGACCAACAGATAGCCACTTGGTTTGAAAGTGATTGTGTGAGTAGTGCTTCATACATCACTACACTGTTGACAATAGACAATGGATCTTTTTTCCCACAAAATTACGGCTAATGGAACTGCAGCCTAAGAACTAAAACAATAAAAATCTATAAAAGGTTATGTTCATTTATGCGTGTCAAAATAGCAATCAATAGTAATAAAATGTTTTTTACCCAAATATTATTCACTCAAACACATTCGTATATGAATATATACCTCATAGAACCCCCTATAAATGATTTTGGATGATACCTCCATTTTGTTCAAATGTCATGGCACGTGAAAATCATTATGATTTTGCTTAGATTTTGTAGGCGAGACGACAAAATCGTCGTCCAGCCTTAGTTCCCGAATAGACTGACAGGTAAGTGTGCCCTCTCTTGCTGAAAGCAAAATTAAGACTCTCTCTGCTCTACCACACTTTAGGTTTGCGCCGCCAAGTCTCAACCTCCTCATGTAAATATTTCTCTCGTTCTGAGAAACACATTTGTTGTGTGCTCTCCATAGTAGGCTCTTGTTTTTAGCCTTGCTGAGACTCTTTATCAAGCGCTGTGTAGGTTTTCACTGAGTTCAGTCATTGCTTTTTCATGGCTTTAACTTCAGTTACTGTCTTCACCTGGTCCACAGATGTGGACGTGGACGTTTGGTTTTAATGTTTTAGCAAGCACATCTTACCGCCACAAGACTGAAAGCTTTGAGTTACTCCAGTTGGTAAAGGTTGCTTTTATTTTTATGATTACATTTAATCGCGAGTTATTATGTTACAAATTGACATCTAAATTGAGTTACCGTTGTCTTGGTCAATAAATTGTGGCACTCACACATTGTATTATTGTACCCCTTCCTCCAAAGGTAATTTGATTTAATTACCCGTCAGTGTTCATGACTTCTGGTAAGCATCAACTGTTTGGCGAAACCTTTCTTTCTCTTCACACATGGTTCTCCTTCTGTGGAACACCTTTAGAACCCGTTTGCAAGCAACCTGTTTGCTGGGATCATTTTCCCATCCCATCTTCAGTTTCTTTGTCATCAAGGCTTGATTTAACTCCGCTATTTAAGCTAAGTTTGGCCTTAAGATTTTCATCAAAAACATCCAACAGAAGCCCAACTTACCCATCTTTGCATTTGGGTTACGTTTTCTTCCAACTTCTCCAACACAGTGTTTGACCTTTTATTTTGGATGAATAGCATCTGTTAAAAGGTTTTCCAGGACAAATGACTGGACTTAAAGTTGCAACTAATTACATGTAATCTGGATTACATAATCAGATTCCAAAATTGAAGTAATTGTTGTAATATTAGATTATTACATTTTAAAATGGTCCTTATCAGACTACAGTTAAGTTTTTATTGATTACATATTCACCTATTAGCAGTATTCATTAGTGTTCATAATTTATTGATTCTCCCTAATTCTTCTTTTTCATCATTACAATTTTTCTTCCTAAAATAGCCTGCCGCTTATACACTCCGCAAATCTTCCCGTTTGTGGACCTTCACACAAAGAGCAGTCACTAGTCATGTAGCTATAATTTACCAGACTTGTTTTAATTCTAAAAAAGTGTTTTCTTGACATTTCAACACTGCATCAGCTACTGATGAACACATTCTTTTTAATTACCTTGCAGTTCTTTTAAGAACCCCAGTTTAGTTTAATGTACTTTATGTTGTTAATTACAACGAATTGGATATATTTTCTTTCTCTTGGTTTGTTTATATCGATATATAGTGCAAGATCGTGTTGTTTAAATCAATGTGATAAACAAGCTAGGTCTAAAGTAATCAAAGTAGTCTGATTATATTACCTAAAATGTGTAATGTAATTGATTACGTTACTAACTACAATTTTCGCCATGCATTTTGGAATCCGTAACGGACTACAATTTATAAGTAATCTACCCAGCACTGTTAAAAGAATAGTTTGCCCTAAAAATGGAAATTCAGTAATTTATTCACTCTAATGTTGTTCCAAAACTTGGACCACATTGAAAGTCCTAAGGCTCGGTATGACATGAAGTTGAGCAAATAACGACAGCATTCCATTGATGAGTTGTCCCTGTAAGGTTCTTGTTCAAGAGCCAAATTATGATCTAGTAAACAACTGAAACGGACAAGACGCAGCAAATAAAGTTCAATAAATGTCATCAGGTCTAATTAATGTGAAATAATAGACCGACTGGGGTGTTTGGCATCGGAACTGAAAGCCAAGCTGGCATCAGAACTATAATAGCAGTAGCTTGGCAGATGTTGTGTAGTTTGAAACTTGTGAGGCATGTTTACACCAGAAACGTTTTGAAGAGTGCTTGACTTCTGTGTGTATTCATTCGGTCAGTGCAAGGAAACGAAACATGGTCTTTATCATTGTTTACTATAGTTTTAGTGTAATTCTGAGAAACGTTTAAGCTTTTCAAAATCAGGACACTGACTCCATCTTCTAACAAACTCTACAATAAACAGTCCTCCATAATTAATGTTTAGGTTACTTACGAAATAGCACAGTCACCAGAGCGATGGGCATTATTAGCAATCCCACCAGGAGATCGGCCACAGCCAGAGACATCAGGAAGAAGTTAGTGGCGTTCTGGAGTTTTCTCTCCAATGACACTGCCAGAATGACCAGGATGTTTCCACCAATGGTGGGGATGATGACCAGAATAATGAGCAGCGCGGCCCAACGGAGTGGTTCTCCAGGCTGGTTGGATTCCCAATTCTCGCTCCCTGTTTGGTTGAGCTCCGGTGTGGACGAGACGCTATTGCTAGCCATTCTGCTTTGGAAAGTTGTGCTTTTGTTTTTTCCGTGGGCTCGTCCAGCATTGTCACAGACTCCCTCTGGGCCGAGAGTGGTGGTACGTTCAAGTTCAAATGATGCACTTGCGTTTGCTTGCAAGAATCCAATTTATTGAGCAAAAGAGTTTCTAAAGAATTCCCTCCAAATTAATATCTCCAGATGGAATCAGAGACCGGATTGGTCACATGGTAGACAAGGTATTGACCATCTTTGTTCTTTCTCCTGCGAATATAAACATTACAGTGGTCTTCAGACTGACGTATGATAAATACGATTTTCTTCTTGTATGATTAGCGGTACGTGTTCCAGGCCATGTTCGTAATTAAGCAAGGAAAGAGCTATCAGTATTGATCTGTGAGTGTTGACCATATGGAGTCATTTGTGTTCCTATCCAGTTCAATCAGTCGGGGCTGATGACTTCATAAACAATGTTCATGTTTTCAGAATAATTTGGGTTTCATAACTTCATTATAATTTCGAAATGGCTCCTTCTAGCATAGCATTATGTAATGAGTGTTATGAAATAGACAAATGGTGTATAATATGTTGACGATTTTATAAAATATAGGAAAAATCTGGCATTTATACAAAAAAAAACTACTGTAGAATATTAACATGATTTGACCTTAATTTTTTATTTCTGTTATGTTATATATTGCATTTCCCCTACCAACTTTACCACTATTTGAATTAGTTTTTTCCCTCATTATAAGCTAAAAAGAATTCATCAAAATAAAAATGTTTCCACATCAAATTACATTTATATTTTTAACTGTATTTTCTAAATTTAAAAGGGTTCTAAATATATTAAACGTTCTTCCATGATGAAAAATATTGTGAAAATACAGTGTATTTTTCACTTACCTTGAACTCAAAAACCTGAAGATTTCCTCTAGGCATTAGCTTAATTCCATATTATTCACCGTTTTATTTTTCCACGTCTTTTAAGCAAATTAAACAAGTGCTGCTTCACAAAACGTTCCTCAGATTGCGAACTCTCATCTTATATGAACACAGAAAAAGTACATGACCAAATTCTCTGTGGGAACGGATCCAGATATTCTCACTTTTCAGTTGCATGCGGAGGAATGTCCCTGTTCTCGAGGAGCTGGACGAATCCCCAGATCTTCTCCGTGATCACCGGTCTAAAACTTCCATACGTCCTCTAACCCTTCCTCTCTCATTCTGTGTCTGCTTTCTGACTCGCTCTACCTCTCTCTCTCTCACACACGAGTTAAACGTGGAGGAGCGGATGAATGGTGACGCTGGGGTGGTTCCAGTGAACCTGGGGGGTCATTTTCTTCAATGCAGCAAACCAAAGTTTTTCCATAACTTGATTTATACGTTTTCTTTCATTCAGTCAACTAATCAATAAAAAAAAAAAAAGGTTTAGCACATCCCTGCCACCTACTTCTTGTCAGAAATGAAGAAACATGGTGTTTTTGATGCTTTTTAAGCTATTGCGTTTCTATTGAGCTATTGAGTTTCTATTGAGCTATTGGGTTTCTATCCAGACGTGGAAGCTTGAAGCACCCTGCTAATTTTCCTCAGCTGTCTGTATATCCAGATGGAGCGGGATTGTCCTTTAACAGCCTCTGAATACTGAGCGGGTCGGTTCTGTGGTGGATCTGTCGTATTTTAAGAAGTATCGATTGAGGACTTGACTCTCACTTTCTCATTAAATGACTTTTGCGAGGCCAATCCTTGAGCAATCTTCATCCAGCTCCTCCTCCCCATTACCTCCATGTGCTCAGGCTGTATAGACACATCTGTTTCCCACCTTGACATGGTGTAGCTAGAGGTCGAAGCTGGTTACTGAAAACACCAACAAAAGTGTGTGTGTGTGTTTATATGTTGTACACACTACCAATCAAACGTTTGAATACAGCTATTTTCCACATGGATCGAGTCGAGTCATAATTTTGAAGTACATAGTACATAGTACAATTATGTTAGTGACCATAAAAAGGCTTAAAAACAGCTCTGTTTAGATTCCAGAGGCTTATTCTGGATGTTTTTTTAAACTATTAAAAGAGTTGTTATAATAGTATAATTTGTACTATTATTGTTTTTATTAATATTTTGAATTTTTTAAAAATATTTTTCGTTTTAATTTGAGCTGTTTAGTAATTTTGTTGTGTTTTTGTCCTTTTATTTTTCCTTTTTAGTTTTAGGTTTTAGTAGTTTGTTAATCTAAAAGAAAAAAAAATACAATTGTGTCTTGGCAACTAGTAATAATAATTTATTATTTTTTTAAAATATTTTCTTTTATTTAATTTATTTCAAGCTAACATTTTTTATGGATTTAGTTTGTTACTTAATGATAACCCTGTTCCTACACTTTAAATATCATTTCACCTACTTAACATTACAAATTTAAGGCAGAGACTGACCTTAAGCATTTAATTATGATCAAATTAGCTGTAACTTTTTTTTAGTTAATTCAAATGATAATAATCTGACCTAAATGTATTCTTTTGAAATTCATGCAATTGGTTTTATGCCCAACGTTTTGTAGACGTCTAATGAGAAATGTTTCAGTTGAAACTCTGACTTTTGTATTGTGAGTATGTATGGAAACTTAAGGCCAAAACTTTTTTTTTCAGCTAATAAAACCTGAAGTTTTTTTTTTTTTTAAGTGGATTGGTGCTGTTGTAGGGAACTCTTTTGTTTGTTCATTTTACTGGTGCGTTGAATAGCATCTGGCAAAGGGAAACTCTTGAACCATGAATGCCTCCGACTCCTGGAGTGTGTCAGGCTTCGTCTTTTGTTTATGAAAGTTAACAAGAAAAAACTTAAATCAGACTAAACCAAATTTAGGACGGAGCTTTTAGCTTAAGATTTAAGAGGCTGTTAAGGTTGATGCGCTTGCAAAGTAAGACAAAACAGTTCTTATGAAGGAATTTATATATATATATATATATATATATATATATATATATAAGTTTTG